AGTTGAAGACTTTAGTGCATAGGTGTAGTTAGTAGGCAGCATTAGGAGTCCCTTGAAGGCACTGGTATATAAATCCATGTGGATGGATCAATAGCAATTCTGAGTTATTTTACCTGGATGTTGAAATATTTAATAAACAAAATTTTAATTCAATAATTTCATTTAATTTCAATCTACTCAGCAATTAAAAGGATGAATGAAGCATAATAATTGGTGACCCTTACCTGTTTTTTGTGGCCCTATCACAAGGAATTTTGGTAAGTGCTCACAAGTTTTCTCTCTCGACCAGATGTCTTTGTGCCGTTTATCATCGCATGGATTCTACACAAAGATATAAAACTTAATATTATTATGTGCTCTATTCTTTAAGATGTGCTCAAGGATGGAAACAGTTTCTTGCTTTACGTCTCAGAGGTAGGTCCCTCTCTGCTTCTATGATTTTGAAATGTTTCCCTTTAAGAAGTCCTTGAGATTTTCTACTTAATCAAGACTGGAACTCAGTGTAGAGTAATCCTATTCTCTTCATTTTCTACTCTTTGGCTAGGTTGTAACAACTGAGCATCTGTTTTATTTTTGGATTTATGCTTTGGACCCTTATACTAATTGGGTTCACTTATTTCTCAGATTTCCCTGCTGCTCATGTTGTTGTTGTTAGATCCCCTATGTCAGTTCCAACTCATGGTGCCCCTGTGTCCAGTAGAGGGACATGCTCTCGGTCTTGCACCATCTTCACCATAGTTGTCGATGTGTCAATCCTTCCTGTCAGGGTCTTCCACGTTTTCACTGTCCTGCTACTTTACCAAACGTGCTGCCTTTTACTGAGAGCCTGGTGTTTCTGATAACAAGTCCAAAATAGTGAGATGAAGTCTCAGATTCCTTACTTCACTTCTGAGGAGCATTCTGGCTCCTTCCAACTTTCTTCCAAGACAGGTTTGTTGGTTCTTTTGATAGTTTAGGGTGATTTCAATATTCTTAGACAGAACCATAATCTAAGTGCATTACTTCTTCTGTGATCTTCCTCATTCAATGTCTTTCCCATGTATGTGAGGTGATTACAAATCGCATGGCTTTCTATCAGACAGACTGAATTGAAAAGTTGATTAATGTAGATGTAGTTATGCTAAATTTTGACACCTTATTATTTGCTCTCTCTTTGAACTAATTTTGGAGTGCTGGTGGAATAATAGTTACACATTGGAGGCCAATCACAAGGTCAATAGTTCAAAACAAGCTACTCAGATGGAGAAATCTTTTTTTTTTACTTCGTTAAGAATTACAGCCTCAGAAATTCACAGAAGCAGTTCTACCCTGTCCTACAGGTTGCTATGAGTTGGTATCAAGTTGATGGCGGTGATCTTTGTTTGAGGGTTTTGTTTTTATTTTGACTCCTTTTAAATCTGTTCTGTATTTTCATATTTTCTGCTTTAGTTTTTAAATCATTTTATTGGAGGCTCTTACAGCTCATAACATTTCATACATCAATTATATGCTGGTATTTGAAATGCCTGAGACATCGCTGTCAGCTTCATAGCGACACGCGAGCTGCCACATATGAAAAACTAAGACAAATGGCGAGGCCATCATCATACTTCCTGCTTATTGTTTCCTCCCTCCCCTACTCCCTGATCTACCTTCAGTTATCAGGAATCGCTTCTAGGATTCAACAAACGATGTATGTTTCCCTTCCATTCTCATCTCAAAATAATTGAGTAAATAGAAGTTTAAAGGCAACTTTTGTACTTAATTTTACTATGTGGGAGGTGTGTGCCAAACTTCTGTTGATTAAAGACAACTGTTCCTTTAGTTGCCTTCCCTTCTGGGAATTAACACGCGCCAACACCATGGGTGTTGGCCAATGAAGCAACGGGAGAACAAAACAATATTTCTACTTCTACGATGGAATGGATTGTAAGAGTTACCATAGTCATTCTCATGTTAGAATAGCATTTTCATAGGCCATAAAATATTATTTCCATCATCCAATTTCTTTGTATTAAGTCCAGCCTCAACTCTGTTCACTCCTGTAAGGGTAAGTCAAATATTGAAGTATAAAACTTTAACTTATTGTCTTTACAATAGAAACAACAGGGAGTAAAAATAGATTTATACTTACTAGACTGTAATTTTCCAGTAGAACTCAGAAAAAGTAGTATTCATTGATAAATAATAGGAAAAAAAGTCTTTACAGTAAAATTTTAACATCATTTTATAGCACCGGAATGTTTTATTTCTATAGGAGTGATTCCAGAGTTAGCACTGATGTGAGGGAGTTTGTAGAAAATTAATGGACATTTTAAATAATGACAACAAAAGTGATGTATCTGGAAATGCATGCTGCTTTTCCCCCTCCCTGCACATGTGTTAACTTACTCTTGTAAAACAATTTATATTCCAGAAGGAAGAAAATATTTCAACAACTAATATCTAATAGTCTGGAAATTTTTCCCTCAACCTTAAAATGATCTGCTTGCATGTATTACAAGCATCTTCACCTGGGTCAGACTTATTTA